GTGGGCACAAGGGGTGAAGGGAGACATATATATGGTGATGGACAAACAAAAATGTACAACCCATAATTTCACAATGTTATAAACTATTAAAACATCAATAAAAAAAAAGGGAAAGTGAAGCAGTCAAGTAGAAAAAAAGATACAACAAGGGAAGCAAGGCCAGAGAGATGCAGAGTTCTTGGTTTTGAGGGTGGAGGAGGGGGCCCATAGGCTAAGGAATGTGGTGGTCTCTAGAAGCTTGAAAAGGCTAGGAAATGGCTTAACCTTTAGGGTCCCCCAAAAAGAACCTAGCTCTGCCAATACCTTGATTTTAGCCCATGGAGACCCATGTCAGACTGCTAACCTACAGAACGGTAAAACAATAAATCTGAGTTGTTTTAAGCCAAAAAAAAAAAAAATACAACTTCATAAAGTGGCATTTTACAAGAAAAAAATAGTTTTTATAACTGTGTTCTTTATGTACAAGAACTTATAGTAAAAATTTTAAGTAGAGACATGGAATATATTAAAAAATACTCAAGTCCAACTTCTAGAGATGAAAACTACAATGTCTGAGATGAAAAATACACCGGATAGGATTAACAGCAGAGTAGAACTTGCAGAAGAAAAGGTTAGTGAACATGAATACATAGAGATAGAAACTATCTGAAATGAAATGAGAGAAAAAAAGACTATAAAACATGAACAGAGTATCAGCGAACTGTGGGCCAACTTCAAGGGTCCTAATATTGGAGTAATTGGAGTTTCTGAAAGAGAGAAGGACTAGTACAGAAAAAATATTTAAAGAATTAAAAGCCATTAATAATTCATTATAGTAAAGAATTAATGGCTGAAAAATTTCCAAATTTGATGAAAACTCTAAACCCAGAGACCCACAAAGCTTAACCAACCCCAAGCACAAAACTTATAATCAAATTGCTTACAATTAGTGATAAAGAGACAATCCTAAAAGCAGCCAGAAAAAAAGGACACATTATGTTTAGAGGGACAAAGATAAAGATGATGCAAATCTTCTGGAAACAAGGCAAGTGAGAAGGACATGGGAGAACATCTTTCTTTCTTTACTGAAAGAAAAAAATGATCAACATACAAATTGACATTAATGGGAGAAATTGAAGAAGACACAAGTAAATGGAATTGGAATTGCTCATGAATTGGAAGAATTAACATTATTAAAATGTCCGTACTACCCAAAGCAATCTACAGATTCAATGCAATGTCTATCAAAATTCCAAGCCATTTTTTGTAGAAATAGGACAAATAATCCTAAAATTTGTATGGAACCACAAAAGACCCCGAATAGTCAAAGGAATCCTGAGAAAGAAGAACAATGCTGGAGGCATCATCATCCCTGATTTCAAACTATATTGTAAAGCTATAGTAATCAAAACAGTATGGTATTGGCATAAAAATAATAGATACATAGATAAATGGAACAGAATAGAGACCCCAGAAATAAACTGCCACATATATGGTCAATTAATTTATGACAAAGGAGCCAAGCATATACAACGAGGAAAGGACAGTCTCTTCAATAAATGATGTTGAGAAAACTGGACCACTGTCTTACACCATACACAAAACTTATCTCAAAGTAAAGATTGAACATAAGACCCGAAACCATACAACTCCTAGAAGAAAACATAGGCTGTAAGCTCCTTGGCATTGGTCTTAGTGATGATTTTTTGGATTTGACACAAAAGCAAAGGCAACCAAAGCAAGGATATATAAGTGGGATGACATCAAACTAAAGAGCTTATGCACAGCACAGGAGACAGTTAAGAAAATGAAAAGGCAACCTACTAATGGGAGAAAATATTTGCAAATCATATATCTGATAAGGGGTTCATATGT